TCTTCCAAATTTGCTCGATTTAAACAAATTTACTCTTATTAAACTAAAGTCCTTTTTAAACTCTTCTTATATGCTTTCTATCTTTTATTTGTTGTTTTATTTATTTTTTTTTTTGTTTGTTACATTTTGTTTTATATGAACAAGTTTTCTTCGTTATTGCTGATGTTGATATCAAAGATTGCCAGACATGTTGTTGTTCTTTTTATGCTCTTTTTTTTTTTTTTCTTTCAATGTTCTACAAGGATATTGCCATCAGGTACATATGTCTATGTATAGTATGTTTTTTTAATACATGCGACAATATTTTTACGAGATTAAATGCAAAAACTCTTATGTATTCAAGTAAAGGGAGCAAAAACATTGTAAGGAAAGAACTACAAGTCTTTGAAATACGAATTGAAATTAAAAAAAAAAAAAAAAGAAGAAATGATCAATAAAACATGTGTAGGGCATCGATAAATTTTTGGACATAACAACAACTAAAATAAAAACTACGTAAAAGAAAGACGACAACAAAAACATAAAATGGTAGTTAACAACGAATCTTCCGTTACATACGTTTTTGTTATTATTTTCCTTGAAGAAGATTTATGGCAACTTTAAAAAGGTGAAATATTATGTAGCCATAAGTAGTGCTGGAGCTAGGGTGTATTATAAGTACACGGATATAAGTTATTCAAAACGAAGGACGACCTAACCAATCATTGTAAATATCCAAAGAGCAAACTTTAGACCAAAAACGTTGAGTTTATTACATAAATCGCTCTAATAACCGTATTTTGAACAATAACACATAGGCATCACAGGCCCTTGCTCGCCTGCTTGTTGTGTTCGTGACTTGGTAATTTTGCTATGCAGCAAAATTGATGCTACAGTATTTTATTGCGATTATTCCTTTTGAACATGAAAATTAATAGAAAGCCAAAAAAACCGTAAAAAGAAAATACACTATCCGTTAGATCACTAGGCCTAAAACTACCGTCAAAGGTGATTCTAAGCCCTCTAAAATATTTCCAGTTGTGGGCAAAGTTTTGCGCGGTTGATTATGTAACTAAATCTCTAACGGAAAGGAATAATTTACATTCAGGATTATTGCAATAAAAAAGTCTTCGAATATCTACATATTTTCAGAAAGACGGAGGTGGATAATGGCGGTACGCTTAGTTAAATGCAGAAGCAGATTTACGACGAGATAGATTTGGAATCTCTTGTTGTTATTAAGAATATATATTCTTTAAAAGATCTTCGATGCATGTTGTAAGCTTTTTGCTTCTTTCAGAGGCTGGCCCATATACATATAATACGGTCATGGTCAGAAAAAAAGAATCGCGAAAAGTGATTTGAAGGCGCGAACACCGACTTGATAGTCACAACTTTTACCTACTCTGCTATTCAACAGCCGCTGTCACACCCATGATACTGATGGGAATTTATTTTTTGTAAAAAGCTTTTATCAAAAAGTACGCAAGAAATAGTCCGATCGGATATCTTGAATATATATTGCCAAATTGGTTTCTTCCATTTTTGAATTTTTGCCAAGAAATATTAATAATCAACTTTGGTTCAAAATAGAGCATTATAAGAAAAATGGAGTTTGGAGAAACATTTTTGAACCTATTCATAAGAATATCTCGAAAATTGCGACTTATGAGTTGAACGTAAGCACATGGACCGACGTCAAGCGAAAAGGAAATGATTCAGGAGCGATTGCTATAATAGCAGCTCATCTTAAGCACTTACCTACTTTATATTTTGTTTTTTTATTTTTTTTTTTTTGATATTAATCACACAGGGTATATTCCCTACTCGTGTAATACCTTGGCGCTCAAGAAGAAGTGAGCCTAGTGGGTGTGTACCCAATGAGCTGAGCACTCGCTATAACTACATCGTACATAAACTTTCATGCGTTAAGATTAGAACCCGCGAATACAAACTGGATAGTCGTGATTCAAAGGTCTACTCGGTTACATTGCGTATGTAGTATGCAATATGTATCCGCACAAGTTCGGTATATTTATTAAGAATATTTGAATTTCTAAATATTTTACATCGTTGGAAAAAAAAAAGAGAACAGATTAAAATAGTTTGCTGGAATTATTTTTCATTTTTCTTTCTTCTGTTTAAAGAAGAAGTGAAATATTCTGAAAAGTCTCTTTACAAACTATTTCAATATTTTAATCATTACGTTAAATGAAATCATTAATTAATTCATTGTTGAAAATTCATGAATTCTTTTGGCTGCTGCTGTCAAGTTTAAGCAGCGAAACAAGCGAAAACTCTTGTTAGCTGACTGTTTTCTCTGCCAGTGACAACCGTTAACTTAAATATGTTCGCGTTATGTTCAAGAGGAATAAGAAGAAGAAAAAGAAGCAATGAATATGATGAAGTTGTTCCTTATAAAATTTCCAGAAGCTAATCTTCGCATTCCCATCTTCTAAAATATTTAAGAACAATTGCAACTAAAATAGTTTCACCAAATAATCCAATAAGGAAACGTCAGCTTATGTAATAAAAAGCGATGATATTATTATATATTTTAATGAGATTAGTTTAGTAAATGCAACGAAACCGACATCATAAAATTCATTTGAATATAATCGAGAGACAACGGAAAGTTTTTAAACAATTTTCTTTTCATATATTAATCGAAATGCTACGAAGTAAGAGAAAAGCAGAAATTAAACCAAAAATTATCTCTCTCTTTTAACTTTTACTTATCATATTATTATCGATAATGAGTTCATAAGTTTTTATTAACTTTTCAATGACTTTACAGTAAAGACCAAATAGTACCTTACAACTTTTCAAAACGTAGTACATTCAATCTGTTGTTGAGATATCACACAAGATTCCCTCGTTTATTTTGAAGAATATAAAATTCTTCTGTTTTTTTTTTTTTATCTTTTCCATTAACAAACTCGTCCAAGTCGATAAAGTTAAGCCGGTCATAATCATTCTTTAGAACTCCTAGTGGTAGCTCCTAGGTCAGATGTGGAGATGATCGGGTTCTACTCATAAACGCATCCATCTTACTCACTTAGGATCCTTTCTAGCCACTACCACGCTCTCAATTATAACGAAAATGCTTTGAATGTTTGCCCAAATATAAAAAACCAAACAATTGCTTAAAACACTGTAAATAAATATCACAAAAAGACAAGTCTTTAAATATTTTTCAGTGATTAACTAATTAGCGGTGTCGACCTCGAGTACATGTAATATGAAATTAGGTCGTAATGAAACGTCTTGAGAAAGTCAAATACATTAGTTAGGTAACTAATTACACATACATAATGATAAAATTTTATGAGGGAATTCGGCAAGGACGGATGGACAGGTTGAAGATCTTGATCGGCCAATAACTGTCCGGTAAGAGAAGCCCTTTTTTTTTGCAAAATTCTCTTTTATTCTTCAATACACTGATACGAACAGTCAAAAACTTCCTTAACGTCTCGCCACCAATTTTATAGGAGAACTGCCAAGATCCTTCAAATCTGCTTCAATATGATCGTAATGACCTCATCGTTTCACCCAAACGGTTTTCCTTAGAGGTTGCCCTTGAATTTTACGTATAATCGTTAGAGCCCAGATCTGAAGAATTCTATCGGTAGACCAGTTAAATTCGCCCTTGAACTCGCACTTCAAGTCAGTAACACGTTAACGTTCTTCTTCCACTGTGAGTGAATGTTATGCGCGTATAAAAAATTGATTTCGGATGTTTGTGTTTTTATATAAAATAACAAAAACCATGTCTGTTGACACGTATACGATGCCCATCTGCTATTTGTTGCAAGTCCAGAAAATCTATATCTCAATCCCAGAAGTTTAAAACAAATAAAAAGACGATTAAAAATAGCACACACCGAGCTATAAACACATCTAAACATAAGAAACTACGACAACTACATAATCGACTTGGTCGCTTTGCAGTATTTTCTTGTTGTTATGCCTATTAGTAAAGCAGGATTAAAGTAAGTTTATCTACTGTAGTGCAGCTACCAACAACAACAACATCTGAAACCTTATAATAGGTTTACGTTTTTGAACAACATAAAATTCTGAACCCACTTTGAATCTCTCGACCACCTGGCGGCCAATGGATCTGCTATTGGAATATTTGATGTAACAAAATCCGAGAGAACAATTTGAAACTTATTTCTTACGTGTTTAATTGAATCCTACACATTGAGATCGATAAGAAAAGTTGTTCACCCAACAGTAACGCGTTTATTTTATGCAAATATATAAAAATTTCAATACATTGAAACTATCTCAAGATGAAAATGCTAATGGTCCTAGTCGATCGCTTTCTATCTCTTGTTTTTTTTTTTTTTATTTTTCCTATATTTAAAACAATAAGTTGTTAGTCGTTAAACGTATGCGATGCGAGGAGCTTTGAAACTGTTTTATTAAAATAATCACAATTCTTGATAATCTTTGGAGTAATTCTAACGGAGACGGTAATTAAATTGATTTTACAGTTTTATTCTTTTCTAATGTTATATACACATACATGCGTACCGTTAGTAGTCAGAAACTAAAAGTTGAATAAACTATTTGGTTTGCTGTCTGGCTCTGGTTCCGGCTCTGGCTCTGGT